CCACCCTTCCAAGCGCGATACCCTTCTCCAGAGACAGTTTTCTCTTGGCCACGTGCCCAAAATATGTGAAACAGAGCTTCAAAACCTAGCTTCCAAGGAGAAACTTGGTTTCATCTTTTCTGAGACAGAACTGTTTGTTTTCTTGTCAGTTCATGGTATATTCAAGCCTCTTCTCCAGCACCACAATTTGAAGGCATCAGTTCTTCTGTTTTCCTTAGTCAATGTCCAGCTCTCTGATGCATAGCAAGTAATTGTAAAGACCATGACCTGGATCAGGCACATCTTAGTTTCCAGGCTTACATAGTTTTTCTTTTGTACTCTGTAGAGGCCTCTGACAATAGATTTCCCTTTTGATTTCTTGGTTCCTGGTATCAAGAGTGTTGATTGTGGAACCAAGAAAGCTGAAATCTTGCTTGAAATCTCAATCTCTTTTCCATCTATCATGAAGTTGTCAATTGGCCTAGTGGTGAGAATCTGTGTTTTCTTTATATTAAGCTTCAATCCATATTGCAAACTACGGTTCTTGACCCTTTGCAACAAATGCTTCAGGCCTTCCTCAATTTCAGCAAGCAAGATCATATCATCTTCATAATGAAGATTGTTCTGTCTTCCTCCAATTCTGATGCCACATTCCTCTTCATAGAATCCAGCCGCCTGGATCTGTTCCACATATAGATTGAAAACATACGGAGACAGGATGGATCCCTGACAGACTTCTTTTCTGATTTTGAACCATGCAGTGTTTCCTTGATCTGTTCTGATGACTGCTTCTTCTTCCAAGTATAGGCTTCACATGAGCAAAATCAAATGTTCTGGGATTCCCATTTTCCTCAAGATTAGTCACAATTTGTTGTGATCCACACAGTCAAATGGCTTTTCATAGTCAATGAGACACAGATAAACATTCCTCTGGTACTCTTGCTTTCAGCCAAGATCGATCTGAAATTTGTGATGATATTTCTAGTGCCACGGCCTCTTCTAAACCCAGCTTTTATTTCGGGGAGTTCCCCGTCAGTGCACTGTTCCAATCATTTTCAGATGATTTCTCTATACTGTTCTAGGGAGCTCTACTGAGAGCTCTCTATGCTGTTCTGTTGTTGTGGTTGTGTATCATAGAGTTAGAACCAAGGTTTCAGAGGCAGTTAATTGCATGGGAGGAGATTACCCATCCTTCTCCTGCAGAGTAGCTAGTGGCCTTGAACCACATGCCTTTGGGATTACAGTTCAGCTTCTTGCTGCTAGGCCACCAGAACTCCCTATACTGTTCTAGGGAATGAAATTATGAATGGAAAATATAGGACAACTTGATTGATATAGGACAACTAGTTCAGTTCTGATGGTGTAATCCATTGTAAATTGTGCTGCTAACCTAAAAGCTACCTGTCTTCAACAGTTTGAATTTAACAGAAGTTCCTCGGGAGAAATATGGATAATTTCCTCCATTATGAGATTTATGGCTGTAGAATCTAATGGAAAGTTGTTATGAGTTGGAACTCACTGGAAGGCAGGGAATTTTAGTTTAATTCTATTTACCTGGGAAAAGTCCTTCCTCCTTCTCTTCCTTTTTGGAATGATAAGAAGGATCCCTGCTGGTTGCTTCAGAAAGGAACAAAATGACTCCCCCCGCCATGAGATTAATTTTCCATTATATATTAGAAACAACCAAAACCTGTAATAACAATGTTGACAAGGGAGTTGCCTATATTTCACTTTTAGAAGTTCCAGTGTAACGACAGTTAACATTTTTAATCATGTCAAATGCTTGAAATGAAAACCTAGTAGAGTCTTCTACTAATAGTATTTCACAAGAGAATTTAGAATTTTTAAATTACTGTTTTAATAATTTCCATGAATTTCTAAAATATAATGCTAAAGTTCTGATTTTTTTACTTTAAATTAAAAAAAAAAACAAACACTTCAACAACTTAAGAGATTTTTGCTGATATTTGTCAAAGGACAGTAACAAACAAATAGTGAACACAAAACCAAAAGGAAACAATATGTGGTAAATTTAAAAAGATATTTTCTTAATTTTATTCTATCACAATTCAGAAAAACTCCACTAGCTGCCTTAGAGCTCCTCCAAAATTTCAAGGGAGGTGTTACAAACGCAGATGAAGCAAAAATATAGTGTTTTAGTTCCCTCTGGTGGTTAGGTTTAGTAATGCTCTTTGCCGGATTCTGTGCTATTAGGAAACACTGGCGCTTGTTCTCATGCTCAGGGGAAGGATAAAATCACAGTTGTGTTTGACATGCGATTGTTGGAGCAGCATCTAAACTCATGGAAACCCTTATAAGGAGTTACTGTGGGCCAAATATAAGGTTGGACTCCCCCAAGTGGCTATTAGTCTAGAGTTGGAGAGACTAAATATGCAAATGGCGGAACATGCGTGATCAAAAGAACTCTTGCCTAAAATCTCTTTAGCAACCAACCTGGTGAAGCCAAATCATCATGTCTGTAGAAATCAGCTGCAAATGGCCAAGATTTGCTGATATTTGCAGCTTCTGTAAATCTGGAACGTTTCCATACCAGTCACCAAGCTACCATGCTTTTAGTTAGCCAGTGCGGACAACCTCCTATTAGACCATTCCCGAAGCTTTCCGTTTCCCACCATAAGTTTCCTACTGCCCTGCCTGCCGTTGAGTCTCTGCCAACCACAAGTGATAGTGGTTTATTCTCCTGCTATAACAAACACTTAATAAACTGTTTCCACTTGTTCTGCTTTGAACAATACATTTATTTCCTCACGTTTTTGACACATAAAAACATTTGCTGCATAGTACAATTACACATAAACAAATCACATATGCTTATCAGCTGAATTGCTATAAAAATAGAGCACGTTTTTATGTAGTCCTTTATTTCATAAATCCTCCCAAGATTTCACTAATATTGAAAAAGGGAATGGCTTTACTATATCTTGTCACCACAAGATTTGCTAGGCAGCAAAGCTGTGGATTGTTGGTTTGTACAATACACTTTCTAGGAAAAATGGTTTTAAAACCTGGCCCCTAAAAGCAATCTTATGGCAATCAGTTCCAAGCACATTTTCAGTAAAGAAAAATGAAACCATATAGACATGAAATGCAAAAAGTACTAAAAGTATTTGTGGCTAAAATTAATTTAGAGCTAAAACAATGAAAGATATTAGAAATAAAAAAGACTAAGAAAGAAAATGAGACTAAGATTTGATTGCTCTTAGGAACCTTCGAGCTGATTATAGTGACCTTATGAACAACAAGGAACATTGTCCTATCCTAAGCCTCCATCATGATCTCTGCCATGCTCAAGACCATTGATTAAGGGTAGTTTAATGGTAAGGAACTGTGCTGCCAAGACAAAGGTACATGGTTTGAATCTACCAGCCGCTTAAAGGAAGGAAGATGGGCAGTCTCCTCCTGTGCAATTAATTTATTACCTCTGAAAAACCTCTGGAGCACCAGCTATCAGTCAGTTCTGACTAGATGGTAAACAACAAGCTCTGGTGGCCTAATAGGTAAGAAATTATACTGTCAACAAAGGCAGGCACTTCAAATCCACCAGCTAGTTGGGGGAAGAAAGATGAACAATCTCCTCTCATGCAATTTCAGCCTCTGAAAACCTGTTGGAGGGTCAGCTATGGATTGGGATCCAACTCCATGGCAATGACTTTAACTTTTTTGAAACTCATTCTTTGGAGAATGCTCTGTCTTGTCATCTTCTTCAGATGAAGCCTCAGCCTCTGAAGAGTTCTGAATAACCTTCCTCTTTCTTATTTCTTCTTGACTTTTTACTACAGTCACCCTATGTAGCTTGACTTCTCTTTCTGTAACTTTGTTTGCATCATTGATATTTTTTTCTGACAACTTCTAGACTTTTCTATTCCTCCTTGAAATCTTTAAAAACCCTACTAAATCATCCCATTTCACTGTGCACGGTGCCCAATCATTTCTCATTGCTCCCAGAAAGGAGAAAAAGAACAGATGGATAGGAGAAAAGGAAGAAAGGAA